CAAAAATCGCGATTTTCGCCGCTACCGGCCAAAAATAGCGCGATTTTCGCCGCTACCGGCCAAAAATAGCGCGATTTTCGCCGCTACCGGCCAAAAACCGCGCAATTTTCGCCGCTAGCGGCCAAAAAGCATGCGATTTTCGAAGCTGGCGGGCAAAAATCGCGATTTTCGCCGCTACCGGCCAAAAATAGCGCGATTTTTGCCGCTAACGGCCGAAAACCGCGCTATTTTGCGCAAAAACCATGCGATTTTCGCAACTGGCGGGCAAAAATCGCGATTTTCGCCGCTACCGGCCAAAAATAGCGCGATTTTTGCCGCTACCGGCCAAAAACCGCGCGATTTTCGCCGCTAGCGGCCAAAAACCATGCGATTTTCGCAGCTGGCGGGCAAAAATAGCGCAATTTTCGCCGCTACCGGACAAAAACCGCGCGATTTTCGCCGCTATCGGCCAAAAACTATGCGATTTTCGCAGCTGGCGGGCAAAAATCGCGATTTTCGCCGCTACCGGCCAAAAATAGCGCGATTTTCGCCGCTACCGGCCAAAAACCGCGCAATTTTCGCCGCTAGCGGCCAAAAACCATGCGATTTTCGCAGTTGGCTGGCAAAATTCGCGATTTTCGCCGCTACCGGCCAAAAATAGCTCGATTTTCGCCGCTAGCGGCCAAAAACCGTGCGATTTTCGCCGCTAGCGGCCAAAAACCGTGCGATTTTCGTGGCAAGCGGCCAAAAATCGTGCGAATTTCGCCGCTAGCGGCCAAAAATTGCGCAATTTTCGCCGCTAGCGGCCAAAAACCATGCGATTTTTGCAGTTGCCGGGCAAAAATAGCACTATTTTCGCCGCTACCGGCCAAAAACCGCGCGATTTTCGCCGCTAGCGGCCAAAAACTATGCGATTTTCGCAGCTGGCGGGCAAAAATCGCGATTTTTGCCGGTACCGGCCAAAAATAGCGCGATTTTCGCCACTAGCGGCCAAAAACTCTGCGATTTTCGCTGCTAGCGGCCAAAAATCGGGCGATTTTTGCCGCTAACGGCCGAATACCGCGCTATTTTGCGCAAAAACCATGCGATTTTCGCAGCTGGCGGGCAAAAATCGCGATTTTCGCCAATACCGGCCAAAAATAGCGCGATTTTTGCCGCTACCGGCCAAAAACCGCGCGATTTTCGCCGCTAGCGGCCAAAAACTATGCGATTTTCGCAGCTGGCGGGCAAAAATCGCGATTTTCGCCGCTACCGGCCAAAAATAGCGCGATTTTTGCCGCTACCGGCCAAAAACCGAGCGATTTTCGCCGCTAGCGGCCAAAAACTATGCGATTTTCGCAGCTGGCGGGCAAAAATCGCGATTTTCGCCGCTACCGGCCAGAAATAGCGCGATTTTCACCGCTAGCGGCCAAAAACCATGCGATTTTCGCAGCTGGCGGGCAAAAATCGCGATTTTCGCCGCTACCGGCCAAAAATAGCGCGATTTTCGCCGCTAGCGGCCAAAAACCATGCGATTTTCGCAGCTGGCGGGCAAAAATCGCGATTTTCGCCAATACCGGCCAAAAATAGCGCGATTTTTGCCGCTACCGGCCAAAAACCGCGCGATTTTCACCGCTAGCGGCCAAAAACTATGCGATTTTCGCAGCTGGCGGGCAAAAATCGCGATTTTCGCCGCTACCGGCCAAAAATAGCGCGATTTTTGCCGCTACCGGCCAAAAACCGCGCGATTTTTCCCGCTAACGGCCGAAAACCGCGCTATTTTCGAAGCTAGCGGCCAGAAACCATGCGATTTTTGCAGCTAGCGGCCAAAAATCGTGCGAATTTCGCCACTAGCGGCCAAAAATCGTTCGAATTTCGCCGCTAGCGGCCATAAATAGCGCAATTTTGGGCTAAAAAGTAGCGAAAGTAGCGAAATTTTGGGCTAAAAAGTAGCGAAATTTTGGGCTAAAAAGTAGCGAAATTTTGGGCTAAAAAAGTAGCGAAAGTAGCGAAATTTTGGGCTAAAAAGTAGCGAAATTTTGGGCTAAAAAGTAGCGAAATTTTGGCCTAAAAAGTAGCAAAATTTTGGGCTAAAAAGTAGCGAAAATAGCGAAAAAAGTAGCGAAAGAAGCGAAATTTTGGGCTAAAAAGTAGCGAAATTTTGGGCTAAAAAGTCGCGAAATTTTGGGCTAAAAAGTAGCGAAATTTTTGCCTAAAAAGTAGCGAATTTTTGGCCTAAAAAGTAGCGAAATTTTGGGCTAAAAAGTAGCGAAAGTAGCGAAATTTTGGGCTAAAAAGTAGCGAAAGTAGCGAAATTTTGGGCTAAAAAGTAGCGAAATTTTGGGCTAAAAAGTAGCAAAATTTTGGGCTAAAAAGTAGCGAAAGTAGCGAAATTTTGGGCTAAAAAGTAGCGAAATAAGCGAAAAAGTAGCGAAAGTAGCGAAATTTTGGGCTAAAAAGTAGGTTAGGTTAGGTTAGGTTTAGGTCAGGTCAGGTCAGGTTTAGGTTAGGTTAGGTTAGGTTCAACTTTAGCCAACACCTATGTTGACTTGAGCTACACAAGCAGGAGCAGCTGCCAATCACCGGGAAGCGGCCAAGTCACGTAAATACAGAGACCTTGAGCACCACTACAATTTTGTCCCCATTGCCTCAGACACTTGGTGCATGGGGTAAAAGTGATGCTAGCATTTTGAAGGAGTTGGGGTCCAAGCTAATCGAAACTAGAGACCCTAGAGCTGCCAGTTTTCTTTTTCAGCGCCTTAGTGTGGCAATCCAGAGAGAAAATGCTCACTGCATCCACGGTTCCTGCCTGCCATCTGAGCTGCTGGAGGAGCTATTCAACTTGTGACAAGCAGCCTTGTACCCTGCATGTAATCAATATTGTAACTTTTTTGTGTAATGACATTTTGAAATAAATATACACATACCAAAAGAATAGGGGTGGTAGAAGAAAATATCAGTGTTCAGTGAGGATCCACAAGGTCTTCTCTGAGGCTATGAGTCTCCACACTTGCACCAGAGGTGGTACCCATCTAGGTTATAAAAAATATACTATAGTATATACCATATATACTATAGTATATACCATATATACTATAGTATATACCATATATACTATAGTATATACCATATATACTATAGTACATACTGTAGTAGTATAATACTACTACAGTACGTACTGTAGTAGTATAATACTACAGTACGTACTGTAGTAGTATAATACTACTACAGTACGTACTGTAGTAGTATAATACTACTACAGTACGTACTGTAGTAGTATAATACTACTACAGTACGTACTATAGTGTATTATACTACTACAGTACGTACTATAGTGTATTATACTACTACAGTACGTACTATAGTGTATTATACTACTACAGTACGTACTATAGTGTATTATACTACTACAGTACGTACTATAGTGTATTATACTACTACAGTACGTACTATAGTGTATTATACTACTACAGTACGTACTGTAGTAGTATAATACTACTACAGTACGTACTGTAGTAGTATAATACTACTACAGTACGTACTGTAGTATAATACTACTACAGTACGTACTGTAGTAGTATAATACTACTACAGTACGTACTGTAGTGTATTATACTACTACAGTACGTACTGTAGTAGTATAATACTACTACAGTACGTACTGTAGTAGTATAATACTACTACAGTACGTACTGTAGTAGTATAATACTACTACAGTACGTACTGTAGTAGTATAATACTACTACAGTACGTACTGTAGTAGTATAATACTACTACAGTACGTACTGTAGTAGTATAATACTACTACAGTACGTACTGTAGTAGTATAATACTACAGTACGTACTATAGTGTATTATACTACTACAGTACGTACTATAGTGTATTATACTACTACAGTATACCATATACCATAGTATATACCATAGTATATACCAGATACTATAGTATTATCACTTATAATATAATTATTATACAACTAATGATAATATAGTATATACTATAATGTTATAGTATGTTATTATAGTATATAATATACTATTATTAATAGTATAATATATTATTAATAGTATAATATATTATAGTATATGCTATATTATAGTATAATATATATACTACAAATTATACTAATATACTATAATATTATAGTATAATATACTATAATAATACTGTAGTATATTATATAATATATTATGTACTACAATAATTTATTATGTACTATATTATGGTATATTATCATTAGTAGTATAATTATCATAATAAGTGATAGTATATATAATTATAGTATTATAATATACTTCAATTATATACTATAATACTATATATAGTATATATTACTATCATAGTATATTATATACTATAATATTCTATACAATATTATAGTATATAATACTCTAAAACATTATTATAGTATGTATATAATAACTATTATAGTATACAATATACTATATTTTATTATTATTATAATAGCATATTAATGAAATATGCTATACTATATAATTATATAGTGTAATAGATTATATTATATTAATATAATGTTATACTAATGCTATATATATATAATATCTATTTTAATATAGTGTAAGATTTATTAAATGTAAAATATAGTATATATTATATTACATTTAATTTTATAGTAGTATAGTATATATATATATATTTATAATAATTATACTATAAATAATTGAATATAATGAAATATAATATTCAATTATAAAAGTATTAGTATAATATATATAATATTGTAATATGTATTATAGTGTTAAATATATAATTTTAATACGTTTTATTGTAGTATTATAAAGTATAATATAATTTAAATTATAAATGTTTAATATTTAACATTTTTAGTATAATATAATTATGATTGTGTTATAGTATAATGGTATCTTGTGGTTATTATAATATGGTTGAATACATATTTTTCTACTCATTTTTTTTCATTCTAATACATTATATTGTGTTTATTGGTATTCCCTAGTAGTATATTTTTGTACATTACATATTAATATTTGTATAATAATTTTTTTTCCACTATATATAAATACATCTTATTTTATTAGCATTAGTAGATTTAATGAAAATAGTATACAATATATTGTATATTTGTACCATTTAATATACTATATATTTATTATACTCTTAATTCATATATTATAATGGTATACAATTAAATATTAGTTATTCCATGTATTCGTATATTATACATTTTAATAGTATAATATATTCACGCTATTTAATACATTGCTTCATATATATTACATTATACCAGCTAGTTAGAATAATATAAGCCAGGGGTTCTGCTATACATATAGCTGTTCACACACAACCATCCCCTTTTACCTGTATTGTTCCTATACCACTCTAAGTCAGAAGCCATTATGCATTTCTCGACTAACACTAAATATTCACGTTTCATAAACATCAACATACAGACATTACCCTCACGGGTCTACCAACCGTTACACCACCTCTTGCGTAAGGTATTTAAGAACATTATGACCTTTACACGTTTATTTTACAACTTCAATTTTTGCCATACGAGCAGCTATTCTGCATAAATATATATCAAAGGCTGCCCTCACAGATGACGTACTGTTGTGCCGCTTTATGCCGTCGTTATACACGCTGTTCAGTACCAGGGCGTCATACCTGTCTTCTACCGAGCCTGGGGACAGGAGAGGACTTAAAAACTTGTTTATATTATTTTTAAAACAATTATCAATTCTCTTGAAAAGCTAAACTAAACTTGGGTACACCTCTTTACAGCCCTTTAAGCCCCTTATGAGTAACCTGAACTTCTACATTCAACAAAACACCCCATATGTTATGGGGGTTATAGCTGTATTATATCTAAAGTAACAGTAGCCATACTGACCCTGCAGTGAGACTAGTTGCTGTTGGACAATGTACCCGGATGACCAGCTCTAGCTCCTCGCGCCTCGCTCCTTGCCCATTCTCCATATGAACTGCATCATATCTAATAAAGTTACAAATTTGGATTTTTTATTGCCTATTTTCTTTATTTGTCCACTCCGCATCAAGTAGACATTTAATGCAAATCTCAATTATTTATTTAAACATTTTAAACATTAATAAAGTAAACTTACGTCTGCCGATAACTGTAGTCCCTTTCTTTAATACCAACTACCTGCAACCCTCTGGTAACACTACCACCAAGATTTGCCTTTATCCAACCTGTAGGTATTGGTAGTCACGCACAATGAGAGACTTATTTACGGCCCTCTTCTCAGCTGTAAAACGTTTTAAATGTAGTTATTCACTAAATCTTTAAAGGGAACTAAATAAAAGCCAAGTTTACGATTCTAACGTGCATCTATCTTACTTCATGTACGCGACTACTTTGTTATGAGATTTTTTCAACAAAATCTAAATACAACATTTACTTACCACGTACTACAGATGATGTAGTGCAGACTTTGCACGTAGCCTTTAATGCTTAGACAAGTCTGGGCCAAATCTTGCCCAGATTCCTTTAGTGCAAGAAGGGGTTCAAAGGAGAAGGGTGACGATTTATGACAACCGTTAGACGAAATATCAGACTTTAGTTTCGTACCGGTGTCTTAACTGTAGACAGTTTCTCCGAAGGACTACGTTTAGGAAGAAAGCGACCCAGACAACCGGTTTCCTCAGGATACCAACACCACCAGCCAGCCGTCTGGGGTTATGTCCTGCCTTTGTAGTAGTTTCCTTAAGAATGTTTTCAGGTGTGTCAAGAGGAGTACAGGGCGGATCACGATGCACTCCACTATCATCCCGATTGTTTAATCCACAGGTACGTTGGTAAACAGTGATTCTACGTCCAAGGAGGCTCTTATCCCTGTGGCCCGTGTTCCCCGCAGTAAATCAACAAATTCCTTTGGAGACTTCAAGCTGAAGGCGCAAGGGACAAGGATTCAGCAAGCCGGAGACCAACATTTTAAGCACAAGCATTCTGGAACAATACATATTTCAGATTAAGAAGTGCATTTAAACTTCACAGTCTTGAAAATATATGGTTAGCAAGGCAAGCCAAGATATACATTTTTATCACCTTGGTAATTACACGAAAAACTAACTGGATATTCCTTTACAACTAATTAGTAGTCGGTAAATTTCTACCATCAGAGATTCTCTTAAAACCCTCTAAGTCTAAGCTACAACTTCTAAAGAACAATTTTTTTTTTTTAACTTTAAATTATCTGAATTTTATCCCCCCCCCCACCCCCTCCCTTTACCTATACAAGACAAATGCTACACCGTACTAAGTGACTTAGGAAGTCACTTTGTTTACTTTTTATAGTCTAGTAAAAGCTTTGTAACCGTCTATATTTAACAACAGCCATTTATATTGTCCGAAGTAAATAAAGTCAACCTCCTTGGCTATACTGTACGTATCCAAATTTAAAACTGCTAGAGCAGTCAAAGGCACGTGTCCGGAGACTAGCACCAGATTTTAATTTTACGACCGTTTGTCAACCTCCTGACTGCCTCGTGTCTACCCTCCGGGGCGCTCACAACTACACCACTGTCAACTGGTACTTTACTATCGTTCACGTGCAATCGTTACGAATTATTTCTTTACCTTTATTACGGATATTTACACTATACTGAACTTTATATAATTCCACCGAAATGCTACTCCAAGGCAAGAATAACATTATGTATGACACGAAGTTATACAATTTGAGTTCATGGTAAACACGATGGATGGACATCTTAAACATTACCATACCCGTTTCCAAAACATTTCGTTCATTATCAATTCTTAATTGAATCTCTAGCCTGCTGATTTTACGTTACTAAAAAGTTTTAAATTTTGTTTTCAGTTTGTAATTTACGTCTTCAAAGTAGTAACCCCATTGTACATTTAGCAAAATGTGCCTACATTCATTTTATTTCATTCATTTTTTTATTTCATTCATTAGTTCATTTTAAAGTTTGAAGGGCAGACGTTAATGGCTAACCTGACGATACAAGTGGCCCACAGGGGCGTTACAGGTCACTTTCGCTCTGCTATACTGCCACACGCACCATTATGGACACTTAACCCAACCTTAAATTCGTCAAAGCAAACTTTACATATTTTCCGCCCATACCCTTCACTACTTCCCAGTACGGAAAACCAAAGAAAGGAAAGGGGGGGACCAGGTAAGGGGAAGTCGGGGGTGGACGGCAAATGGAAAGGGGAGGGTGAGAAGGGGGTCAGGGACTCAAAGGGGAGTTGGGGGGGGTGGGGACGCGCCAAAGGGGACGAGGGGGGAAACGCGGCAAAAGGGAGTAAGGGGAGGGGAAGCGGCAAAGGGGAGGGGCAGCGGCAAAGGGGAGTAGGGGAGAGGCAGCGGCAAAGGGGAGTAGGGGAGGAGGCAGCGGCAAAGGGGAGTAGGGGAGGAGGCAGCGGCAAAGGGGAGTAGGGGAGGAGGCAGCGGCAAAGGGGAGTAGGGGGGGGGAGGCAGCGGCAAAGGGGAGTAGGGGGGGAGGCAGCGGCAAAGGGAAGTAGGGGGGAGGCAGCGGCAAAGGGGAGTAGGGGAGAGGCAGCGGCAAAGGGGAGTAGGGGGGAGGCAGCGGCAAAGGGGAGTAGGGGGGAGGCAGCGGCAAAGGGGAGTAGGGGGGAGGCAGCGGCAAAGGGGAGTAGGGGGGAGGCAGCGGCAAAGGGGAGTAGGGGGGAAGCAGCGGCAAAGGGGAGTAGGGGGGAGGCAGCGGCAAAGGGGAGTAGGGGGGAGGCAGCGGCAAAGGGGAGTAGGGGGGAGGCAGCGGCAAAGGGGAGTAGGGGGGAGGCAGCGGCAAAGGGGAGTAGGGGGGAGGCAGCGGCAAAGGGGAGTAGGGGGGAGGCAGCGGCAAAGGGGAGTAGGGGGGAGGCAGCGGCAAAGGGGAGTAGGGGGGAGGCAGCGGCAAAGGGGAGTAGGGGGGAGGCAGCGGCAAAGGGGAGTAGGGGGGAGGCAGCGGCAAAGGGGAGTAGGGGGGAGGCAGCGGCAAAGGGGAGTAGGGGGGAGGCAGCGGCAAAGGGGAGTAGGGGTGGTTCCCCCCACATACAGCTCACCTTCAAGAGACGAAGCTGGAACTGTATACCAAAAGTGAGGTAAAACACACTGAAGTGCAGTTTCTCTCAGCGTCCTATTTATACCCGGCAGCCAACCACACTCGGCCGCTGATTGGTTGATATTCACCCTAACCCTCACCCCATTGGTTAACATTTTGCGAGTCTCAAGTGTCAATTAACAATGGCCAACAACCACTCCTTCACTTCCCCAAATACGAACGAGTCTCTAATGAACCAATAATGATCCCCAGCTTGATTTTCAATTTCTAATTTACAAACCAAATACAACATTCTATTGTAAATGTTGCAACACAACAACAGGTACAACAGAGCAATATTTACAATAGACTCGGCAGTGAAGGAGTAATCGTCCGTCAGTCAACAACTGTTAATGGCCGCTACACAACTACAATATATACAATAACACACTAACAACACAACAACCCAAACTTCCTGACACAACACTGGATAATGTTAAATATTTGCCTTAAACTGACTTACCATATTACTCGTTAATGACAAATTCTGTTATTTTAACTTATTAAAATGTGAACATTTATGCTTTATGTTAACTATTAACGTCCAGAATGACATTATTCAGAATATTATTCTGCACAAGTAGCGTCCTTGAGTCCTTAAGGTACACAAGGGGAACTTGAGTGCTCAAGTACACAAGGGGAACTTCAGTGCTCAAGGTACACAAGGGGAACTTGAGTGCTCAAGGTACACAAGGGGAACTTCAGTGCTCAAGGTACACAAGGGGAACTTCAGTGCTCAAGGTACACAAGGGGAACTTCAGTGCTCAAGGTACACAAGGGGAACTTCAGTGCTCAAGGTACACAAGGGGAACTTCAGTGCTCAAGGTAGCACTCAAGTTTATGAGTGCTAAATACAATTGACTGAGAACCACCAAGACTTCTCCTAAGTGCTAACCTTGAACAGAATGTACTGTAGATTAGTGGTTTAAACTATGGCTTGAAACATAAGTTGACACAGAATGAAGACTTATTATAACTTTTTTTTAACTATTTTCAGAAAACTATTTCAGTAACGAGACTATTCATCTGTCAACAGCTGTCATCTTCGTTGACGACTTCACTACAATCTTAATTATTAAGCCTTAAAATCATCCACAATTATATAATAAGGAGCCATAGATAGTAGCTATGTATACCATAGGTGAATTATGAGTCTTAAGTAATAATTTTACTACTATTAATTTTTATCATTATTCATTATTTAACTTTGTCTCAAGTCAACTATATTTTCGTGATTTTCTCACAATATTGCTGCCCGCAGCCTGCTCAGAGGCAATCAGAGATGGTAATCAATTTCTTCCTTACCACCAAATGATTTACCTAAATTTGGAGCACTGTGCTCAGTCCCACTAGGTCTCCGTGCCGTCCTGTGCTCAGTCCCACAAGGTTGTGCTCAGTATTCCACAAGGTCGAATTACTGACAATTCCCAGGATGCTCGAACTGTATAATAAATTGATTGTTTTAGTCATTATTATTTAATCATTTCTTTCACATATATTACCCAATACTCATCGGCTCTTTGAGGGTGGGGTGCAGAGTACATGTGGGGGGGGGGGGGTAAAGGTAAAGAGTACATGTGCAGCCAGAGTACTTCTACGGGTGCAGAGTGTATGTGCTGATACAAGGTACATATAATTCATTGTGTCGGGGGACAGTAAGCCAGAGTGTATCTCTCACACTCACAGCTCCCTGACAGAGAGAGAACAAGCTTAGCTTAGCTGCCAACACCCACACATCGTGTCAGCAAGGCGGACAGCCCGCCGGCTTTCATAACTCTTTCCTACTTCTAAACGTCTTCCTTTACCCATTCCTCTACATCATCCTCACTCCCACACAACAAAAATACCCTCATCCAATGCTTCACTGAACCCCTCCTGGTTCTGTTTACCTTCAGAACTGTAAGTGAAAAATCCTAATTCGATCATATATTTTTACATTCTTATTTAACGTTATTTCGGTTTAAGTAATGCTTATAACATTATAGCCATTGTCAGCAGAACATTGGTTCACAACACGGGTTCTGAGTGTGCAGGAAGTTGTTCTTCACTATTATTGTCATGAAACTATGGTATAATTATCCTGCTATTCTAATTTGATGGTGAGTATAATCACCGGAATGTTCACGGGTTGTAGCTCCTGGGCCCCTGTGTGTGGCCCAAGGAGTGCCCACACACAGGGTCCAGGAGCTACTTCAAATGAATAAGCATTCATTGTAGTTTTAGAGTTCATTGTTATTATATATTAGCATACTTTTTTATAATGAAATGAGTAGAAGCCAGTCTTCCTAAGAACAGGTATATATATATATATATATATATATATATATATATATATATATATATATATATATATATATATATATATATATATCTTCATAATAGTGCTATAAAAGCCTTAGTAATATACATGTTCTCAGATATAACTTTTATATTTCTAAACATACGTTTGGAAATAATTCCCTTCCTGATAATTCTCTCCCTCCCTCCATCTTTTTCTCCATGCTTCCCTCCACCCTCCCTCCCTCTACATAATTCCCTCACCCCCTCCCTCCCTCCCTAACACCTGCCCATCTTCCCTCCCTCCCTAACACCTGCCTATCCTCCCTCCCTCCCTAACACCTGCCCATCCTCCCTCCCTCACTAACACCTGCCCATCCTCCCTCCCTCGCTAACACCTGCCCATCCTCCCTCCCTCACTAACACCTGCCCATCCTCCCTCCCTCACTAACACCTGCCCATCCTCCCTCCCTCGCTAACACCTGCCCATCTATACCTATCCACCAATCTGTGTGTTGTAAATATCGCGTCCACGGTTCCCCCACCACGAAGCCGGCTCCTCTCCCCTCACGGCTCTGCCGGATATTGCCCCTCCCCCACCAAAGAGCCAGCTGGCCCCCCCTCTCACCCCCACCATAGACAACATTGCCCATATTTATCCTGATTATTCACCAGGTCATCCATTTCCTGCCTCGGTCCCCCTCTCTCTTTTCCCCTCACCTTCACTGTACTTTCCTCTCTCTCTCTCTCTCTCCTCTCTAGTGCTCTCTCTCTTCTCTCTTCCCTAATCACTTCCCATATCAAATTCACTTCTCCAGTATTTACCCCGACCCCATATTTCCCCTTCCCCTCACTCTCTCCCCTCTCCCTCACCCCTCTCCCTCACCTCTCCCCCCCCCCCAGCCTCAGTTATCAACAGCATGCCACCACTGGAAGTGGATCTATATTCAAATTGTAATGACGAGCGCTGGCTTGATAAATGATCCAGTTCTCAGGAGTTTTTTCCTCCTCTTTTTGACCCCGTGTGTCTAGGCGGTTCACCGCTGTGGGGAGCTGGTTACTGTCTGTAGACAGAGTATAGGTACTGTCTGCGGTACTGTACGGTACTGTCTGCGTAAGTATGTCTCGCCACCTGTTTCTGATAGCCTCTCTCGGCCTGTCTCTCTGACGCTTTGTTCTGTGTTCTTAAGTCAAAATAAGTTTATTACGCTTATTATATGTTAATAAATAACCTATATATTAATAAATACCTTATAAATAATAAATAACTTATTATTAACTGTTAATAAATAAATTATTTAAAAAATGAGAAAGAGAGAGAGAGAGAGAGAGAGAGAGAGAGAGAGAGAGAGAGAGAGAGAGAGAGAGAGAGAGAGAGAGAGAGAGAGAGAGAGAGAGAGAGAGATGGATGCAGGGATGGGTATCTTGTGTGTAGGTAAGACAATGTGTGCGTGAGTGTGCGCGCGTGTGTGTATGCGCTTGCGTGCCTGAAGTGCGTGCACGCGCACAAGCGTTTCAAGAAAAATGACACAGCCTCATATTAGACTCACGTGAAACACAGCTTCAGCTTCCCCTGAGAACCTAAAGGCTGTAAGACGATCGCTGGTGCAGTGGTCAGTGTCAGCGCTGTTGATGACCCGTGGCGGCCTGGGTTCGAATCCTGAGGGGTCATTGCATTGTTTAAGTAGTATATTATATATATTATATATATGACAGTTGTGACTCTTTCTGAAGACGTATTAATATACGAAAGTACTTAAGGAAATTCCTGTTCCAATTTTCCTCCGTGTTCTGACACTCATTTTTAATCACGTGTTTATTTTCGTGATTTACACACACATTACATATATATATATATATATATATATATATATATATATATGAACCACATCTGGTATTATTGTAACGACCCATAGCCTCAGCGAAGAGGATAAAAGGCACACAGGACAAATCTCGCAGATCCTTACTGAACATGTTAGATAACTTTGCTCTCGCTACTACTTGTTCATCTTAAACAAACGCTTTAATCTCTCTACCTTTAATCAAAACCCCAAATTATACTAAAATACAAAATAAAGCCGCAATCCTGCCGCGTCATTTCATACACCATTATCGAAATCCTATACGACGGTGGCTGTATGTGCGTCTGGGATGCTCTCGGACGTAGGTTCGAATCCTCTTCACGGCCCTTGTGGATTTGTTTATGTCCACTTTGTCCGGGGCCAAAGACGCCGCTAGAGCGCTACGCTGCCCGGGGCTGAGCGTGTCTCCTGCATCTAGTAACAGCTCGCTTGATAGAGCTTGGGCTTCCCAGGCATGGAGACCGAGGTTCCAGTCTCCTACAGCCCAGGTGAATGGCATGACATCTATAGTGCCTGACACTGGGAGTCTTACGGACGCTGGGGGCGCTGTTGGGGGATGGTGGGAGGGGAGGGGGGGGGGGGGGGGAGGGGAGGGGGGACGGAAGAGGTGGGGGGTGGGAAAGGTGGAAAGGAGTAAACTGGGGGAATGGAAATGAAGAGAAAATGATAGGAATTAGACTGAAACGGGGAGAGGATACAGTAGTTGGCACAGATTTGCAATTGAAGTTGATGGGAGGAAAGAAAAGTGGGAGATAGATGAGAGATTGAAAGAAGAAGGAAGCGACAGATGGTAAATGGAAAGAAAGTGATAGAAGAATGCAAACGAAGGCGATACAGTAGAGTGAGAGGAGTGCATAGGCATTATCTCACTACCAAATATTTCATTCAGTTGCTGCAGGAATTCACAACAATTTCCGGGAAATAGATCTGGAAATGGGTTCTGCTGGCGATCTATTTCAATGCATATTTTTCCCTCCCCTCTCAGCAAACGCTGATCACTTTTTTCCCCGATGATTTTCCTGTAGCTGAAACAGTTATCCTAATTCACTTATCCTGCGGATATCCACGTGAAGGGCCCGTGTCCTCAGGTACACATTATTGTCACTCAATTTTATGATGACTCTTAAGACATTATTAGACGTGGTCTTGCAAACGTGCGAGTGCAATAAGTGCCCAGTTTTGTGCCTTCTTGCATACTTTGTTGCATACACACATTAACATACACGTATACAGCAACATATACAAATCGGTAAATGAATATAGAAATAGCAAGACAAATCGAAGGAGTTAGGAAATATTCTTATGTAGAATATTCTAGGTGATATTATCTTCCCTGAACACTGCAAAGATATCAGACAAATATTAACAGTATATTTATTAAAGAAAGTATATAACAAATATTTTCTCCCCCGACACTCGCACTAATACACAAATTTAAATTCAATCTGGCTGTTCATTGCTTTTTTTCGCATCATTTTGTTAATATATATGTGAGCTTGTGTCGCTCGGGACGCCCGGCCCGCAACTCTGCCACACACAGTGGAAAACAATTATTGAGGAGGCAGCTGGGGCCCGGGTTGACCACTGAGGGGTGTGTGTGTGTGTGTGTGTGTGTGTGAGTGTGTGTGTGTGTGTGTGTGTGTGTGTGTGTGTGTGTGTGTGTGTGTGTGTGTGTGTGTGAGTGTGAGTGTGTGTACTCACCTATTTGTGTTTGCGGGGGTTGAGCTCTGGCTTTTTGGTCCCGCCTCTCAACTGTCAATCAACTGGTGCACAGATTCCTGAGCCTATTGGGCTCTATCATATCTACAATTGAAACTGTGTATGGAGTCAGCCTCCACCACATCACTGCCTAATGCATTCCATCTGTTAACTATTCTGACACTGAAAAAGTTCCTTCTAACGTCCCTGTGGCTCATGTGGGTACTCAGTTTCCAGTTTTGTGTGTGTATGTGTGTGTTGATTAAATATTTAATTTAATAAACCATGATGTACAATAGCAGGTGACTTAACGAATGAGAAAACGCCACGAAAGACAAAAATAAATGCTTTGTTCACTTGCAAAATTTTTGCCCATCCTTTCGATTAGAGTAATGCCAAAGCTTTGCCGTAAACCAAGTCTTTCTTTGATGGAAATATAATTGAATCTTGCTTAATTAGATATACTGGTAATACTTTGAACCCGAGAGCGCGGAATTTTATGGAACTGGTACCTTTTTTTTTGGCCTAGAGATTAGCTCTTAATTTCCTGGTTCATCATCTTGGTGTTGGAGGAGTAGGATGTTTTCCCTCTCTTGGGGGAGTGGAATGCGTAGCTGTGATGTTTTATTTTGACGTTTAAGGGGGTTTGGCTGTGGTACTGTGCTGGGGGGATGATGTACACTTGTACATGATATTCATCATTCGACCAGATGATGTACACTATGCGTGTTAGTGGCTTTGCAAGACTGTAAGGATACCAATGTATTGTACTCTCACAACACAATATTGTGTTAACGGTATTATGAAGGGAAAAACACTAGCTGTCAAACTTTACATTTCATAAATAAGATTGATACAAAATACTGGGAGAATACTGGTTATGTAACACTGTGTTAGGGGAAATCCTATAGTTCCAATCTGCTGGGACAAATGAGCAAACATGAACTAATTGGTTATGCCAGTAATACACTAATCTCTTTGACTGGGTATATAAGTGAACTATAGGACGCAACACTTGATTCTCAGTAACATACACGAATACTAACTAAGCATGAGACACTATACATCTATAACTTGAGAGCACTTGTTAACCTTACAAGTAATTCATCAGTGAATTCAATTAACATTCACAAGTATACTCACATGTATTAATAGTCGAGGAAAAAAGGTTCAGCTAGCTCATTATCCACGGCTCCAGTCCTGCAAACACATAACGTATCGATCCCCATTTTTTCCCTTATTACAACTTGTAACAAAATTGTTACGTCTTGTTATAGTTTTATGACGTGTGAATGTTGTTACAATGTGTGGCAACAACTTGTTCGAACGTTGCAGCAACGTCGTAGTTTCATCGTGACTATGGCGGGTTGAGGGTTGTAGATCCCTGGCAAGGACGGGAGCTACAGAGTATCCCGATGTTGCCAAGTTCTCATTAACGGCCAAGTGCTAGCACGTTAACAACTATACAAAACTTATCACATTACCTTTATCTAGTAAACATTTCATCCCTTACACGCATCACATATCTTTCAATCACAAAAGCCTTTAATAATATGGGATAGTTAACTGAAAACAATCAGAGAATTGGCAGATCTGCTCCCATTTCTGCCCGGGATAATTATCCTACCCGCCGGCCTCCCTCTAACGTCAACTGTCAGTTACATGTTATACCGCTGTATCTTTCACTGTATTCATCACTAGTTCTTTCTTAAATTACGTTACTTATTATTTACGTATTGATAGTCAATAACTGCTTGAGATCGGTATGCAGATTAAACATGTCATTAAACTATTACTTTCATTTCAACCACCGGCACAATCCTATTTTCTCCAAAATAATGGTACGTTTTGCAAACCATGATTTGCATGCAAGATTGTTCCTATGCAAATCGTAAGTAACATAAAACCTAATGTAGAATATTAAAATTAAAACGTTTTCGTAGTCTCCCGTTACATTTATAAATTGGTAGACATTACTATTTATTTCTCTCCCATTTGCATACATGATATCACCTAAGTGACATTATTAATAAATCACTCAGTATCTTGCATGAAATTTAAGTATTCAAATTACATAGGAAATTTTGCAGGCTATTCTAAAAAAATGGTCATGATTAAGGTTAAGCCTAGTCCAAAATAAACACACAATTTTTAGTTTTCCTTGAAATTGCATTTTCCAATCTTATTTAATGTTGTCTTGCTAGTGCAAGTCTTGCCTCTCCCGGTACACCTGCAGTGTTAAGGTACAGAACACGTCTTGTAAGTGTACATGGGAGAGGTACAGAGTTCTATTTTCTTTCCTTTAGAACAAAGCCATAACGATAAATTTGTTCTCTGCCAAATCAAAATCAAAAAGAGGATAAAAAACCCGGAGGCTGTTGTGGAAGCTCCAGGTGTTTGTAATTCACTAATGCGCTGCAAAAATGAACAAGTTCCCACAGCGGCGAGCGTTAAAAAATTAGATTATAATTCAATATAGTCGGTCGGGTGAATGGCATGTTATTGGTTGATTTCCGTGCGGCCGCCGCGAGGTTAGGCTTTTGAGAGGGAATGTGTAGCAAGTCTGCATGGGGGAGGGTGGTGTAGGGGGGGGAGGGGCGTTGACAAGCTGCCGGCTTCCTGTCTCAGTCGATATCACTATGGAGATAAGTGGCCATCAGGTCAATTCAGATAAATATCAATTTGCATCTCCCTCTTCACAGATGGATCTAAGTCTGCCGAGGGCACAGGCTACTCCTTTCTTGTCCCTGAACAAATCTATATACGCCACCTGCCTCCAGAGACTAGCATCTTCACGGCGGAACTTTATTCATGTTTATTTATGTGGTAGGCTTCTCTACCACGACATCCCCACTATCTTCTACACCCTTCTCTATTCTCCCATCTGAGAGTATGTGATGGAACAGTCTCCCATTACATCTCTTCTCTGTTTCTCAAATCCAGCCATCATCTTTACCATTCCTTCTCACACATATAATATACATATTCAGCTACATATAAATATACCTAAAATGAATCTTGTTTGGAGAAAATATATAGACAATAAATAATATTGTCTAAAAATACAGAAATTCATGCCTCTTAAGTTTTTTCTCTCACGTGAAAGTTAAATGAGTCGGACAAGACTTGCAAAAGTTTCCCCGAGATCTATCAGGAGAGTATTGACCTTAGAGTGGCGACCACGGCTCCCATCAGTCTCCTTTATTAGCTACGAAAGTTTGGTCATTTCTTGTAGCTCTGATAATACGTATATATATTACACACATATATGATAATTTGACATTTAACTTGTTTTTATTCTGAAATAATCACGAACGAATCTTTGGTGTTGGGTTAGGTTAGGATAAGTTAGGCTAGGCTAGGTTATGTTAGACAAGGCTAGGTTAAGCTACGCTAGGTTAGGCAAGGCTAGGTTAGGCTAGGTTTTGTTATGTTAGGGTGGGATACATTATGATATATGCCCTAAGAAAATACATTGAACCTTATTTAAGAAGCATTCAGGAGTTAATAAGTGTTAATATTTTTTATTGTCTGGCACAGCAAATCTGTATTGCCTAATACCTGGTGTGGAGTAAAACTGACTCGTGGGATTTATTTATATATTTACAATTTATTAATTGATATTAACTTGTATAGTAACATATTCCTTACGTTAATTTTTGTCTATGACGCACTGTATGATGTTAAAGTGGACTATATGAGGTTATTCCCACAAATAGTTTTCTACACAAGCTGGGGGATTATATATATATATATATATATATATATATATATATATATATATATATATATATATATATATATATATATATACATATATATATATACACACATATATATATATACATATATATACACACACATATATATATATTATATAGTATATATATATATATATATATATATATATATATATATATATATATATACGTCCTACCTACGTCTGAGAGTATCCCAGACGCTGCCTTATTCGACTGAGCTACGACATGGTTAAAAAGGGTTGAAACCGAAGTTCTACTGAACTTACTAGATCCTGCAGCCTCTCCGAGACACAAACCAGGGTTTTAGCTCAGTCGATTAAGGCAGCGTCTAGGATGCTTACAGACGTAGGTTCGAATCCTCGTCACGGCCCTTGTGGATTTGTTCATTCACTACAATGTTACTAGGTGTTAAGCTACAACTACAATGGATTAGTTAATACATGTGAAAGCCTTATCTGAGAAGAAGGCTTTGTTATTGTAGCAAGTGGGCAGCCAGCCAGTCACGTGGTCCCCCGTCTTTGAGTGATTCCACATTAACGACTTCACTTCTTAATTCACCTGCCAACGATATGGTTCAGTAATATTTGCTGCACACGAATAATTTTGTTAACATGTATATTATTAATATTCTGAAATAAAGGGTTGAATTTTTGCTCATCTTTGGCCTTGATTATATATAGCGTAACCATAACAATAAATATACAGTTGACCAGACCACACACTAGAAGTTGAAGGGACGACGACGTTTCGGTCCGTCCTGGACCATTCTCAAGTCGATTGTGAATGAAACGAAACGACGAAACGTCGTCGTCCCTTCAACTTCTAGTGTGTGGTCTGGTAAACATACTTCAGCCACGTTATTGTGACTCATCGCCTGCAGTAAATATACACATTGAATACTCTATAAATCTTTTAGTATACTGTAGGGATACATTACCTGGATACGATGGTGTCAATTTGTGCTGTTTAACTCTTCGATAATAACTAGTAATGGTATAAAATGAAGAGGAAACACAACACGTCTGACCTCTCCCGGGTTGTAGTGGCTACTGTCCTCCGCCCTCTCGCATCGGCTGTTCTCCAGGGGAGTTTTATCAACAAGTGGAAAGAGAGTTTATATTTAACCTATTTAGCTGTGGTAATTAAGTTGGTTCAAGGGGAAATGTTTTTTATGATGTTCACCGTCCAGACACTGATGTTTTTTAAGAAGAATTCCTATTATTATTAGTTGGTAAATTTAAGAGCGACGTGGCAATGATATCTCCGTTTTCTTGCTGGGAAAATTCTACTGGACTCTCGTTTTCTTTGGATGAATAGCTAAGATATTTTGTTTACTTTATACGTACAAAAACAGCTGCAATATTATTATTGTATTAAATGTTAGTAAATGGTGTCGTTTTTTCCCAACACCTGGGTACCTATTTACTGCTAAGTGTACAGAGGCATCAGATGAAAAGAAACGTGCCCAACCATTTCTGTCTCGCCTGGAAATCGAACCCCGGATCCAAAACTGAGTCGAGAATGTGTTCTTTCCTACAATTATAACTCAATTTTTAGATTTTTTTAAATTATATAAATTAGTACTTTGGAACGTTTTCTGGCAGTAGAAGTTAACATATGTTCTCTCTCGCCCTCCGTTTAGTCAACCGCTACCTACTAACCACATAACACTGTAGGTCCCAGTATACATGCTGTTTATTAGGCTATGAAAAATTATAAGTCCACTACGGGCTCACCATAACCCGTGCTACTTGGAGCGTTTCTTCCCAGTAGCTGAATCTAAAACAACAACAACAAATAGGCTATGAAAACCAAAGTGATATATTCAAAATAATTTATTACCAAAATGCCCATATAGATACAAACGAGTAAATCGTGTCGCAATGTACAGCTATTTACAAAACTCTCATGCACTTACACACTAGCATATGCAAAGGAAATGTTTTTTCTACAATAGAGGGTAACTTGGGTAGTGAAGAACATGGGAAGATATCGAGAGAAAGACAGAGTGGGGGAAAAAATAGATGAGAAATAGCCTTAATTACTCTCTTGGGTACAAAATCCTTATTGTGATTCCGGAAAAAATCTTCTTGTGTATCATATATGTAATTTTCTTTAAGTTCACAGCAATAATTCTGGAGGATATTAGGAGTCATGCGCACGGCAAGAGGATCAGTGATTGCGTTTCTTGATATCGTTTTGGTAAGACTGGTTTAAATGGGTTATAATGAAGCTGTTTTGGTTACAATGTTTCATGAAGATTATAGTGAAGCTGTACAGGCGGTGGCTCGCAGGCTCTAGCATGCCAGATTATGATTTTATATAATATATATATATATATATATATATATATATATATATATATATATATATATATATATATATATATATATATATATATATATATATATATATATATATATATAATGTTTTAAGTTTGTGTTTTTTAGTTAATTCAGTGTTCTAAGCTTATTTTAATAATTTGTATCTCTGTATATATTAAATGTAACGCAAATGTATGAAACAAAACATTATTAAAATGTTTCAATCAGCAATAGTATGAAAGATTTGTAAATAAACAGCAAGAAAATCCCCTACAATGAAGCTATACACTGAAATTAACTAAGACACATTCATGAGTTGAAAAAAAAACAGTAAAACATTTCTAATATTTCTCAACAATCTCCTTATAATAAACATCAATTTAATACCTCGTCTACTTGATGAAACAAAGTTTCTTTCAGTATCTTCCAGGATAATCCAGAGGCGGCTAAGTGTGAGGATTGTGTAGGGGAGCAAAGATATAAGATGTTCACTCACCCTGTGTTACTCAATTCTGTGGTTGGGATTTTCTTGAGGCTTCTGCAGCCCTGTTGACTATTGTGATTGGGACCTTCTGAGGCATACAGAGGGCTCTTATCTGTGGCTGGGACCTTCCGTGGCTATCTTGAGATCTTGAGGTTATCTTGAGATGATTTCGGGGCTTTTTAGTGTCCCCGCGGCCCGGTCCTCGACCAGGCCTCCACCCCCAGGAAGCAGCCCGTGACAGCTGACTAACTCCCAGGTACCTATTTACTGCTAGGTAACAGAGGCATTCAGGGTGAAAGAAACTTTGCCCATTTGTTTCTGCCTCGTGCGGGAATTGAACCCGCGCCACAGAATTACGAGTCCTGCGCGCTATCCACCAGGCTACGAGGCCCCCCTGGCTGCCACAGTTCTTACACTGCCTGGGGACCTTACGTGACTTCTATGAATTGACATCCACATATTTCCAAGAATGTCAAAGACGTTCGGTTCTTTTGCAGCTGAGAACGATTTATGTTCCATATTTTAAATATTTAAATTAGAACTTAAATTATTTCATCTCTCGTAATGATGTAGACATAATATTTTTATGTTATTATAAATATTGACGAGAAGAATCGAGTACGGTTTCAGCTGCCGAGAGATTATTTAAATGATTTATTTGTGTTGCAAGTTGAATAGCATTCGTTTATACGACTTCAGTTATAACGAAACTCGCCAAGGACCCAAATGTGGGTCCTTTAGGGCGTTATATGACGACGGTGGTTGTGGTGGTGAAGGGTGTTCCAAGTGGTGATTCAACCGGGTTGAGGACTAGGAATTGTCTGTTCTTGACCCACGATAACCTGTGTCGGCCGGATGTGGGTCAAACTCCTTTTGAACAAGTATGGAAGATTTGTCTCAGATTTTGTCTTGTTTACTCTACTAAATTTATGTCTTGACAGTTGTATATTGTATGCAAGGGTGTGTGTGTGTGTGTGTGTAGGATTATATATACATACATTTATACGTTCATACACACATCCTTTCATACATTACAACGGTTAGACAAACTTTATAGTAGCAATAATATAAAAAATATTGATAGTAGAGCAATAAATAATAATGAAACAGTTACATTAGTCAAGAGGTGTATGAGGCCAAGCTTCGCCCACTAGGCCTGCATGTCATGGCATCTCCTTGCAACCTGTCCTCAAGCAAGACTAGTTGAAACAGTAGGCCCACCCCGAAGATGCATTCACTCAACTTTAACGCACTGCGTATTCAAAATTAGTATTTTCTCAAGTATACAGTATTATTACTATATAATAGAATGTGTTGTATAGTCCTAGGTTGAGTTTTTTTTGCAACTGTTGCTAGTTGTTGAACGTGTATGAAGTAAGAGTACGTAGCTTGTTACCAGTAACAGACAACCAAGAAGCCTGCCAACGGGTAAGGACTGAGGAATGGATAACCGGGTAAAAGTCGGAATACGGAATGCCTTTACGAGAGATGGGACAAGAGCGGACAGCTTCCTTAGCGGCAGCATCCGCACGCTCATTTAAAGACACGCCAATATGGCTGGGAACCCAACAAAACTCAACCGACTTAAATTTACTGTGAACGAGAAACAGCCAATGCTGGATCTCGACAACTACCGGATGAACTGGATTAAAGCACCCGAGAGCCATGAGGGCACTACGAGAGTCAACAACAACCACAAAGGAAGACTGACAACGAGAAAGCAGGAGACGAAGAGCATAGAGAATAGCATAAAGTTCCGCTGTAAAGATGCTAGTCTCCGGAGGCAAGCGACACATATAAGTGCGATCAGGAAAAACAACAGAGTAGCCAACACCGTCCGCTGACTTAGACCCATCGGTGAAGACAGAAACGGAGCGGGAGTGAGAAGAAAAGTGCTCGAGGAAAAGGCGTTTTAGAACTGTAGGAGGGGTAAAAGCTTTAGTGATACGAGTCAAGGATGTACAAAACCGCGGAAGAGGGACCCTCCACGGGGGCAAAGAAGGAACAACACGAGGAGAAACATCAGAAATACGAATGGAAAGAGAATCCTGCAGGCGAGATAACCGGACAGAAAGAGGGAGGTGGTGAAGAGGAACAGGAACCGCAGGAGGGGTAAAAGTTAAAGCACGACAGAGACGAGAGGAAGGATGTTGCAAGGACCGCGCAAGATAGCGAAGACAGTAGCGATCACGGCGGTCCTGGAGAGACAGGAAGCCAGTGTCAACATACAAGCTAAGGACGGGAGTCGAACGAAAGGCACCAGAACTGAGGCGCAACCCAGTATGGTGCAAAGCATCAAGACGGCGAAGAGTAGAAGGAGAAGCAGACGAGTAAGCAGGGCAACCATAATCGAGCTTAGACAGGACGAGAGAGGAATGTAAAGCAAGGAGAGTGCGCCTATCTGCCCCCCAAGAAGTATGGGACAAGACCCGAAGGAGGGTAAGGGACTTAGAGCACTCAACACGGAGGTAAGAGATATGGGGAGACCAAGACAAACGAGTGTCAAGGAATAACCCCAAAAGCTTTGCGGAATCTTTGTATTCAAGGGGATGACCATAAAGTGACAAAGAGGGACGAAGAACAACCCGTTTCCGCGTAAAAGTCATGGCACAAGTCTTAGAAGTAGAGAACTTGAAGCCATGACCTGTGGCCCAAGACGACACGGCATCAATCGCAAGTTGAAGCCGGCGTTGAAGGAGAGGCGAATCATCACCCTGACAACAAAGGGTAAGATCATCGACATAGAGAGCGGAGAAGACACCAGAAGGAAGAGAGGAAAGAAGACCATTGAGGGCAACCAGAAAAAGAGTAGTGCTCAGAACACTACCCTGGGGCACACCTTCGTATTGCTGAAAAGGGGGAGAGAGAGCGGTACCAAGGCGCACCCGAAAGGAACGACGAGAGAGGAAGCTGCGGAGAAAGAGAGGGAGATGACCACGAAGGCCAAAAGAATGAAGTTGAGATAGGATATGATAACGCCAAGTGGTGTCGTAAGCCTTTTCTAGGTCAAAAAGGACGGCAACAACGGAGGTCTTCGCAGCAAAAGCAGTACGTATATAGACCTCCAAGTTCACCAGGACATCTGTCGTGCTGCGGCACTTGCGGAAACCAAATTGAGAAGGGAGAGGAGGTGATGGTGTTCCAGGAACCACATCAGACGAACGTTAACCATACGTTCAAAGAGTTTGCAGACACAACTTGTGAGAGCAATAGGGCGAAAGTCCTTAGGGGAAGTACCCAGAGACCCTGGTTTGCGAACAGGGAGGACAACGGCA